GAGCCCAGCAGGTCGAGGCTGTGGTGGCCGGGAGCGGCCACTGCACGCCAGTCTGGGCGACAGAGTGAGACTCCAACTCAAAAAAAAAGAAAGAAAGAGCCGGCCGTAATCCCAGCACTTTGGGGGCTGATGCGAGAGGACTGCCTGAGCCGGGGTTTCAAGACTAGCCTGGGCAACTTGGAGAGACCTCGTCTCTACAATAAATCACAAAAATTAGCCAGGTGTGGTGTCGTGCATCTGTAGTTCTGGTTACTTAGAAGGCTGCGGTGACTGTGAGCATGCCACTGCACTCCAGCCTGGGTGACAGAGTGAGAATCCAACTCGGAAAAAAAAAAAAAAAAGAATGACCCAGAGAGCTGCCTTGCCCATTCCATCATGGAAGGACACAAAGAGACGATGCCATTTAAGACCCAAGAAGCAGGCCCTCCCAAGACACCGAATATGCCAGAGTCTTGTTCTTGGATTTCCCAGCCTCTAGAACTGTGAGAAATAAATATCTTGTTCATAAGCCATCAAGTCTGTATCATTTTTTAAACAGCAGCCCAAAAGGTCTAAGACAACTAAAAGGAAGGAACAAATTCAGAAATGAATTCATTATTGCTAGTTGAAAACTTTTCCCAATACCCCGCCATGACAACTTGCAGAAATGAATTCAGCCATAACAGATGGCATTTTAACATTTAACAGCTCTAAGCATGTCCTTCCTTTCATGAGAATTCCTATGGCAAAGGCAGGGATGTGAGAGAAGAGGCACCTATCACCGGAAGTGTGCAGTTTCCCTGAACAGCTCTAATAAGCTCACTTAGTTATCTAGAACAGCAAACAAGGTAGAAAACATTATCTAGTCTATTTAGAGTCATTTTTTTTAACCTCTTCCAGAATACTTCTTCAACTCATCAAATCAGCACAAGTTGGTACTTTAAAGAAATGGGTAGGCCAGGTGCAGGGGCTCACACCTGTAATCCCAGTACTTTGGGAGGAACAGGCAAGAGAATTGCCTGAGCCCAGGGGTTTGAGACCAGCTTGGGCAACTTGGTGAAAACTCTTCTTTACAATAAATCAAAAAATTAGCCAGGCATGGTGGTACACGCCTGTAGTTGCAGCAACTTGGAAGACTGAGGCAAAAGGGTCACCTGAGCCCAGCAGGTGGAGGCTGCAGTGGCCATGAGCATGCCACTGCACATCAGCCTGGGTGACAGAGAGAGATTCCAACTCAAAAAAGTAGGGAAGGGAGTGGGGGGAGGGAAAGAGGGTAGGAGGGAGGGAGGGAAGGGAAGGAAGGAGGGAAGGAGGGAGCGAGGGAAGGAGGGAGGGAGGGAGACAGGCAGGCAAGCAAGCAGGCAGGCAGGAACAGGCAAAGCCCACGATGGGACAGAGGAAAACAAGATAAGCCTGAACATCTTTTTCTGGTTTTTTTAGTTGGAGTCTCACTCTGTTGCCCAAGCCTCAACCTGCTAGGCTCAGGCAATCCTTCCGCCTCAGCCTTCCAAGTATCTGGAACTACAGGCTTGCACCACCACACCTGGCTAAGCCTGAACATCTTGACCCAGAGAAAAAGAAATTCTCAAAGACTAATGAGAATAGGTCAAAAGGATACATGAACCTGCATGAAGGTGCTCCCACTGGCCAGATCTGGGACATGCCAGCATCAAATAAATAATGACAGTAAAGAATTATAACTTACTGAATAAACTAAAAAAAAATAGGCCTACACTGATATAAACAAACAAATGATTAATTTAGGATATCAATGAACACTAAAATTAGTGGGTGAAAAGTCTAACAAAGAAGAGCATATTTACAAGGTCACCAGACATCTCCCCCCAAATTACTTATTAGTTCCAAAGGGTAAAACTGGTAACTTTACATGGAGAAATCTGGCAGATGCTACCTTGTAATCAAGTGACCAGTGTTGGCGATAATCAACATCAAGTACCTCCTGATATGATGTACTCAGAAGAAAACAAGACAATTTCTCTGGTGGTCCTATCAAAAATGCATAAACTGAATCTAAACAGGAAAAAATGTCAGGCAAACCCAAAATAATTGTATACCTCAAAAATGTCAAGGTGCCGGGCTCGGTGGCTCAGCCTGTAATCCTGCGCCTTTGGGAGGCTGAGGTGAGTGGATTGCCTGAGCCCGTGGGTTCAAGACCCGCCTGGGTAGCGAGACCTCATCTCTACAATAAATCAAAAAATCAGCCAGGCGTGGTAGCGCATGCCTGTAATTCCAGCTACTTGGAAGGCTGAGGTGGAAGGATCGCCGGAGCCCAGCAGGTCGAGGCTGCGGTGGCCGGGAGCGGCCACTGCACTCCAGTCTGGGCGACAGAGTGAGACTCCAACTCAAAAAAAAAAAAAAGAAAATATGAAAAACATTAAAAAATGAATGTAACCAAAACCTGGTTCTTAAAAAA